AAAAAAAAAAGTATGTCATATCCTGGTTCAATATATTTTGTCTCATCTCTTCTGAACTGGGTTATAAGAAAGGATAAGGAATATCTTCTTTTAAGTAGAAAAAGATTTCAAGTCCAACTAACCTCTTCAGTGAAATGAATGAGACATTACATGAAACAGAAGCAATCGAAAAGAGGTAGAAATACTACAACCTTCTCCACCACACCCCCCCGCAACTTTTGTTCAAAAACTCTTATCTACTAACAACATCTACAAACCCCTACATAAACTATGGTGTTGTATTGTTTCTTCAGGAGAAAAATGAAAAAATTAGATGTGATTTTTTTTTTTACAGCTTATATTCTTCTTACCATGAATATTGGGAAGTGATTTTTTTCCCAATAATTAAATTGCATAACTAATTCAACTGCTGTATTATCTTTGTTTTGGCTAAATAGAACTCAGAAATTTGAAGATTAAACATTGTAGCTAGTCTTTAAAAGCCAAATCCTTTTTTCTTTATACTTTCCTGGGCTCATTTTATTTATTTAATATTCCAAATTTCTAAATTTTTATTTTAATACACAAAATTCATTATAGTCATGCATCACTTTAATTCAACAGAAAGGATTATTGATTTAATGTCAGAAATATAGTCTAAATCCATTTTTTCCCATTTCTATTGCTATATTCTAATTAAAATTATATCTTTTCTTGTAAGAAATTTCAACAGACTCCAATTGCTGTGTTTCTTCTCTAATCAACACACCTCTCATCCCCTATCAAAACCCTCAAATATATGCACATATATGTATGTATTTTCTTATCAATAACTAGAAGACATTTAACAAATATAAAACAAATTACATCATTCTGTTTTTGAAACGTACCAGTGGTTTCTCTCTGTACTGATAAATAAAGTCAAATTCCTGACATGATAAGCCATGTGCCTGTTTATCTAACTTCCCTCTTTCACTATTCATCATTCATACTACCTTTTCTGCTTCTTTCTATAGTCAAGGTGTTCCATATTTTAATTTGTACCTATCTCTATCCTTTTGTTTTTTGCATAACCATGCTCTATTCTTCACTCAGGCTTCATTCAAATGTCGCTTCTTTAAGACTTTTCAAGGACTGCCCTTAATCTTTTACTAATCTTATGTACAAATATATTTAGTAAACTAATACATAGCTTCAGATATTTATATTTAGAATATTTATATAATTTCATCTCAACTTAAGTTATTTTTAATGTCTTAGGGAATAAACACAAATAAACCTATCATTTGTTGCATAAGTATATCTTAAAGAAAGCAAACTCAGTTTGAAAATATTTTCCTTTTTAAGAGCTTCATCAGTGCATTTTTCACTTCCTTATTCCTCAGACTATAAACCAGGGGATTCAACATGGGAATCACAATGGTGTAAAATACCGACGTCACTTTCTCCTGGATGGCTGAACTGCTGGAAGCAGGTTTGAGATACATGGACATGAGCGACCCATAGAAAATAAGAACAGCTGTTAAGTGGGAGCCACAGGTACTGAAAGCTTTGGACCTGCCCTCTTTAGACTGGATGCGGAGGATGCTGGAGAGGATGAAAGCGTAGGAAATGATGATTGTCAGGCTGGTGGTTACCATGTTAAATCCCCCAATGACAAAAATCAAAAGTTCTTCAATATATGTGCTGGAACAGGAGAGTTTCATAAGAGGGATGATGTCACAACAATAATGTTTAATTATATTTGATCCACAGAATTCCATCTTTACCAAAAAAACTTCATAAATAATAGAAAGGGTAAAACCTACTGAAAAGACAGCAGCCACCAGCAGAGAACAGACCCGAGGGGACATGATGACATTGTAGAGCAGGGGGCTGCAGATGGCGACATAGCGATCATAGGCCATGGCTGCCAACATGTAGCACTCACAAACGGCACACATACAGATGAAAAAAAACTGAGCCATGCATCCAGAATAGGAGATTGCTTTACCTTTGCTTAAAAACCCTACCAGCATTATGGGAGTTATGTCAGAAGAATAGCAGAAATCTAAAAAAGACAAACTACTGAGGAAATAGTACATGGGAATGTGAAGTTGAGGACTCAACCCAATTAATAAGATCATGCCAATATTTCCCACCACTGTAATTATATAAATTCCTAAGAAGAGGAAGAAAAGTGGCAGCCGAACTTCTGACTGTTCAGTTAATCCTAAAATAAGAAACTCAGTCACTGTGGAATGATTTCTTACACCCATTCTCCTGTGGAAATCTGCAGAAATGAGAGGAAAGAGTCAAATTAGACAGGCATAGACTCAGCTCAGCAACCATTCAACATTCATGAACCATAATTCATGCATTTCTAGCTGCAAAAACATGAATCTGGGATCTCTGCTCCCCTGGTACTAACTCCATTCCTCCATTGATGTACAGAGTCTTTGACCCACCAGGAAATTAGCACTTCCTATTTCATCCACAGTTCTCCCAGGTAGGGTTAGGGATGGTACATGCAGAAGTTCCCTATAATCAGAAAAACCATATTTAAAAATACCAGGTCATTTTTCAGTTAGCCTTGGGATTCTCAGAATCTTACCTAAACTCTCTCATGTTTACCCAGAGATTGTTATATAAAGTCCCACTCAGATAACTGGTTTAAAAAATTCTCAATCTGACCATCCCAGGATCCACCTGTCTCCAGGCTTTCCAAGAAACTGTACCTAGGGGGCCTCCCTAGTGACCTATGGATAAGGTCTCAGCACTATCACTGCTATAGCCTGAGTTCAATCCCTGGCCAGGGCGTTAATCCACATTTGACTTAGCAGACCCACCCAGGAGGTGACCCACATGGCATGGCAGACCTCTCCTGACCCACCCACTGCTACCCTAAGCATTGTGTTTCAGTACATCTGACTGTTCTGTTCCCCACTTTGTCTCTGGTGACTCCTCTCACCCACCACACCTCTGGCCTATATCCCAGTTCTATATGCATAAATAAATAAATCTTAAAAAAAAATTAACTGTTTCTATTTCCAATTACTACTGATAGTACTGCAGCACTAGAAAAGGTCTACTTCCTTTAATCCTTGCACCCCCAGTGATGCAGGTACCTCCTTTTGGCTTCTCAAGCCAAGTCAGATTAAAACAAAGCACATAACAATGAGCAACTGTTCTCTGAAGCATTCCCAACTTTACAAAACATGTGATTTTTGTGACAACTGCTGCTTTTTTTCCCATCCTGAAGGACTGAAAGGAAAATCAAAAACAAAGCTTGTCCAATTGCTTTCTGGCTGTGACTGAAATGCCCTGGGGTCCCCTTTCCTCTGTTCCTTAACAACTGGCACACAAAGGTGTGATTTAGTCACACAGACCACAGAGGGACACAGCAAACGAATCTTCAAGACCATCTAGCAAGATTTTTGCCTTTAATTTCTCTTCATGCTTGTTTAAGTCTGACTTGAGTGTCCTAAACCATAACCAGTTTCTTCAGGTGTTTCTTCCCCCATATTTTTCCTAACTCCTACTGGGCCTCTTTCAAAGTAACATGTCTTCCATCCTGCCATATATCTTGTTTTATTCCCTGCCCTGAACCTGTCTTTCTTATAAGTTCCTTCTTCCTATTTCTCCTTCTTCCTAAACAAGCCTACATCATAGGTCCTTGCTCTTCAATGTATAATCAACAGACCAGTAACATCAGCATCACTTGAAAATGTGTTAAACGCACATCTCAGATCCTAATCCCGCATCAATTGAATCAGAGTCTCCAACTTTTCAAGACCCCCACATAATAATGGATTGCACATTAAACTCTAAGAGGTCTTATTTTAGGTTATTTTTCCTACAACTGACATCTCTCTTTATCCTCACGTCCTACTCTGTACCTCAATGCCTTCTCTGTGATGAAAAAAAGAGATGCTAGAAAGCACTCCCTAGTCGTGTAAAGCCCATCTTCTCAAGAAACACTTCCTTAAATGAAGAAGGGAACTGTAATTTGTCACCTGTAAGTAGATAGACCCCACAGCAGTGTGGTGAGTGTCCAGACACTTATTACATCATATGTGTCATGCTTCCATGTTGGGTGAAATAGTATTCTACAAATTACATATTAACACTTGAAAATCAACAGTGCTAGCTTCTTATTCTTTTTTAGCTATCTACAAACATTAAGTGCTACCAAACAAGGGCTAAAATTTTGTTAGGTTCTATATTAGGTTCTGTATTTCCAAAATAATCCACTATACTTTGACTCACCTAATGGCCTAGCAATCTGATCAAAAGAAGCTGGGCAATATCAAAGATGATATTTTTCTCTAACATTTCAATGCACTACATAGCATTATTAAAACCATGACAAGTTAAAACCATGACAAATTAAAGAATTTTACAAATGTAGAGACTAGATCAGCACTAGAAATGTAATGACATGTGGGTAATTTAAAATGTTCTAGAAACTCATTTTTAAAAGTAAAAATAAACACGAATTCAATAATAACAATATTTTATTCATATATATTTAAAATACTATCATTCAAAATATGATATAAAATTTCTAATGAGGTATTTTATTTTTTCTTCTTTGTACTAATATGTAAAAATTATAATGTATTCTATACTTACAGCACTTTTGAAATCAAACCAACCATATTTCAAATGTTCAGTAGCCACATAAGCCTTCTATGCAATGGACAGCATAGTTCTAGAATACAAATTTCTTCGAATATGACTTCCTCTTTTAAAAAAAAAAAAGATTTATTTATTTATGTATCCAGAACTGGAGTACAGACCAGAGGTGCAGGGGCGGTGAGAGGGTTCACCAGAGACAGAATGGGGAGTAGAAAAGGCAGACTGATGAAGTACACTGCTGAGGGGAGCAGTGGGCAGGTCAGGAGAGGTCTGCCATGCGAATCACCTCTGGAGTGGGCGGGGATTGAATTCATGCTTACGTGGCTTTAGCTTCTCAGTGCTAGGCTTTCACCGGCTGCACCACCAGGGAGGGCCCTAAATTCCTCTTTTTTAATGAGGAAATAATTAGCAGAAAGCTGGCAGAAAGAATGCTGAACTATGAGTCATTATGTTTAGTTACAACACAGAACTAAAAGGTACAAAGTAATGTCTGACTCAGGATAGATCTCTCTGAGCTTCATGTTTTAATCTACACAAAATACTTTGAGGGATTATTTTGCCAAATGGATGAGGCAGTAATTGTAAGCACAATTTGTGGACTACAAGGTTTGCAGAGATATATTTGCAGTATTATAAATCTATTTTAGGGGCTACTGTTTTCACAGATTAGCCACTAGGGCGCTTAGTCGAGGTGAACAGACCACACACTCTGACATCTGGACATCCAAGGCCTGCTCCCTCTAGACCAAGGCTCAGTGACCTGCAAACACACAGAAACTCGTGCTCAAATGGACAATCAGGAGTTAATTTTAAAGCATATTTTGACATCTATATAATACGAGCATCATAACAAACTGAAACTCACCTTCCCCTTCTCAAGAATAGTTGAGTGTTTCTCCTGTGTTCGTCACGTTAGGAATAATGATGGATTAATTAAACCTTTTCATCCTTCACAGTCTAATAATCACAGCTAATAAGAAGCAGGTTTATATATGTGACTTCTGCTCTAAATTAAATCCATTTCTATCTGGAAATAAAAGGACAATAACTTCCAAGTTACTGTCTCCTAAGGTTTATCAGCCTGTGTAGTTTTAAGATGTGTCATATAGCAAGTGTATCATGCTCTCTATACAGAAGGAAATAACATTTGATGTGGTCACATTACCAACATGACATATCTCTAATACAATGTTACAGATATAGCCTAGCATTACTTTGTTTACATATAAAAGATAATAAGATTAAACAAAGGAACAAACAAAACAAAAACAAACTCACAGGAACACAGTGGTGGTTACCAAACAGGATGGGGAGGAGTGGGTGGGTAAAGTATGTAAAAGGGGTCAACTTTATGGAGGAGAATGGAAACTAGACTTTTAGTGGTAATCAAAATGTAGTATATCCAGATGTCAAATTATAATGTTATATAACTGAAACTGATGTAATGTTATAAGCCAATGCTACTTTAATAAATTTTTAATTTAAAAAATCAGAAATAATCCTTCAGGATTATAACAATTATTTTCCATATTTTCACATAAATTTACACACTCATTTTAAACTTACACCAGTAAAAACAGTAAGTTTTTCCCCAGTATTACTTAGGTATAACTGAAAATTTAAATTGCATACATTTAAAGTATACAATGAAATGATTTGATATCTGTATCTTTTTTAGATAATTTCCAAGCAAGTTATTTAATACATCATCATCTCACAGTTATTTCTTTTTTCAATTTTAAGATAAGTGATTTCTGGTGACCTAATGTACAGCATGGTGAATTTAACTCATAAAACGATGTTACATATTTGGGATTTTATAAGAGAGCAACTCTTAATGCAAAGAAATCCGTCATGTATAGTAAGGTTTGAGGTGTTTGAATAGCAGATACATGTGGAACAACATTCTTGCTTATCATGAAAATCACGTATGATAAATAATCACTCTTCCACTTCTTGTGTACTAGTTAAGATTTTTACATGGAGGTCTAGGAAGCAAATTTCTCGAAACACAAAAATTCAGCTATAGTCAAAATATCCAGCTCACAAATCACACATGTTGTAGATCATGACTAGTAAAATTAAACCTCAGATCAGCCCTTAATATAGATGTGTTGCAAAAAATGTAACAATCTGGCTCCAAAAGCAAATGCATTTTAAATATAAGGACATGTTTATATTATATTCTTTTTTTAACATGGATTACGTCAAGTAAGTTACATAAAAATATCTCTTTTGTAAAGAGAGCATGATATACTTGTTTTATGACACATATTATGTAGCTACTATACCCATAAACAACCCAACTGCCACTTTCACTAATACCCAACAGGTGGACCCAACAGGTCTGTGTATGAGGACATCAGAGACCACACACAGACCCTTTGTGCCTTTCCCTGCAGCATGGCTGTTTCACCACAGGAAACATGATGTAGTATTACCTTGAACTCACATCCCTTGGTCAGAAATCAGACTACATGGTTCTCAGGTCGTGAGGACTGATAGTGCATGGTATCTTAATCGCAAACCTAAAGACATATGGTGGAGTCCAGAGATAAAACCACCATCATTTCATTTAAAAGTAAATGAAAACAATTATCCAGGTAAGAGTCCCAGAAACATTAAAATTAAAGACTTG